ATGATTTTTTTATTTAATATTAAGATAAAATACAAAGTTAAAAAAATTCCAAAAATATATGACTCATACTGTATATAATTTAATTTATTAAATTTATTTATTAAGTGATTCTATAGTTTTATAAAATACTATTTAATTTTAATTTTATTGTTAGAGTAATATTTTATAGAACTGAAATGAAACCAATAAAAATGCTTTTATTTTTAACTGCAAATAATAATAAAATATAATTTTGAATAAATTAATACTAATATTTGTAAAGACTTTATTTATCAAATAAAATATTATCTTTCAATTTTTCTTTTTTCTTTTCTTTAATAATATCTTTTAATAAAACTAGAAATTTTAAAAAACAAGTTAACAAAATCTTGATATATTAATTCAGGTTACTGTTTATAAACAAACTGATAATTACATGTTTATATGTTTAAATAAAAATAAACTAAACTTAGATATAGCTTTATTTAACCATGATAAACTCTGTATAATATACAATTGGTAAATGTATACAGTATAAATTTTTAATATCTTATATTACTGTATGTCTCATATTATATTTTTGTTCTATAAAATTATAAATTAATTTTCAAACTTGCTTAAACTTTTTAAAAAAAATCGATAATAAACAAGTAAAATAATTTTATTATTATTTTTTTTCATTTATATTATTTAAAAACCTATTTTATAAAATTTTATACCATTTGAATATTTTTTATTAATTTATACATAAAAATAATAATTTTAACAAACATCACACTTTATACAATTATTATCATCAATTGTTATAACAATTTTTTTCGAAAAATACATTTTTATATCGAATATTTAAAAAGTAAAACTAACAAGTGAAAAATAATATAAAATTTTAAACATTAATACTATAAATAATGACAAAATGATTTTTAAGATTAATAAATTTATAAAAATTTAAAAATTTTATTTACTCTACATAATTTAAAAATTTAAAGTAAACTGCGTTTTTTATAATAATTACGGATAATGAAATTTTAATAAATAATAGGTCTTAATAAATTTCTTTTTGTTTTCTTTGGATATAAAATTTTATTTATGCGATGAAAAGCGTCTGAAACATGTAAAGTCCTTTATTGTAGGTGATAATATCGATGATGATTGATAAAATGAATTCCCATATCATAATGACACAATCAATATTCTCTCGACTATCTACTACAGCACAAAAAAGAAAAGTAAATCAAATAACCTAATTTTTTTGTTCAATGATGGATTTTTGTTTCGTTTTCTCATTGTCAATCCACTTTTCCAATGCTCTGATCGTTGCAGGATCCTTAGGAACCTTAACTCTCCGTATCTGTTTTTTTTAAAAAAAAAATAATTATTGATGTCAAACTAAATTGTACAAACAAAGAAGTAAGTTAAGATTAGATACTTTCCAATTTCGAAACTGCGGTTTGCTCGAAGTTAACATTGGGTTCCATACTACTGATCTCAGATGCGACTTTCGACTGTATTGTAGTCACATCTATTAATTTCCTTTGTCTATAGTATTTATTGAATTCTTCGAGAATAACGACTTCTTCAGCGGTGAAATTCGTATTTGAATAATCAAATGTCCCAGATTCCGATTTTCCATTATTGGGAGATGTGGTGGTGTACGGCGCACTACGATGTCGTGTCGGATTCTGAAGACGATGTCCTTTTTCCTTTGATTCTCTGTTGTCAAAATTACTAATGCTACTAATACTACTGCTGCTACTACTGCTACTACTACTGCTACTTCTGTTGCTGCTGCTTTCGGCTCGTTCACTCACTCTCCCTTTAGTGGGTTCGCCAGCCTTTATTCGCTCAATTCTATTGTTGTAGACACCAAATTGATTTTGATATTCACGTTGACTTGTTTCTTTGCGCTTGCCAGAATATAGTGATTCAGAACCGGTTCCTGAATAATCATCATCGATAATTTCTATAATGTGGTTAGAATTCATCTTGGTATCTAACGTCCCATCTCTGTTATTGCGTGCATTCTTATTAAAGAATAACGGAGGTAAGGCATCTTCTTCAGCATCATCGTTGACAAATGGAGGAGATTCTATGTTTGCCCATGTAGATGAATCACCATGGTTCATCCATGTCGACGAGTTGTTAGAGTTACTATAATCCCATATCCCGTTATCATTGGTCGTATTTTCAGATGTTGTATAGTTAAGGATATTCTGTATAGAGGCGTTGTTAGATGCTGACGATGAAGCAGCATTGGCTGATGGTTGATCTGCAACCGAGTTATTAGGGAATTCTTCCGATTGTTGACTTTCAGATATTTCCGGAGTTACCGGAAGTTGTGGGATCACAATGCTAATACCAGGTGGCAATATAGTTTTTAACTTATCAACAGCGATAGCGGCTCTCTTGAATGCATTTCCAATCTCTTCATAAGCCTCGATAACCTTTTTAATGAGACAAATAAGATTAATTTCTCTTACACCTGAACCAAAAAATTTATAAGTCAGCAAAATACCTCAAGAGTCCTTTCCTGAATCTCGTTCATTGAATAGTTTTTCAGGGACTCATCGCTAGTACGCTCACCTTCGCGTATCTTACCTAGTTCTTGTGCTTGTTGTGATAAAGATGACATTGAAGATGAAGCATCGGCATGCAATTTAGCATTCAACATTGTTGTGATTGTTGAAGATACGTTTGCAGCTAACGAAGCTGCTCCTCCTGTAATATTTTCCGCTGGCGTCACCGCGCAAGAAGCAGATTTTGATGAGGAAACTTCAACAGATGATTTATTGTTGTTTAAACTGGATTTCACCTTCGATCGAGTCTTCACTTTAATATTTGAGGGAGAGCTCTTGGCAATGGTGGATTTGGTTTTCTTAGAAAGCAGAGATTTGGTATCTGTAGTGGTTCTTAACGGTTGTGTCGATTGACGAGACAGTTCTTCATCCTCCTTATTGTCTGCCGAAGTAACGCCTGGCCGTTTTAAAAAGATTTTCTGTCGACGGAAGAGATTAATGACGATTTTTCAAGATTAGATTAGCAACTATATCAGAATTCTTTGATTAGGTCAATTAGATGAAGTAAATAACTTGAACAAAAAATTACAGCTGATGAGTCTAATAATTTCGAATGCAAAAAGAATCGTTAACGTAGATCGTAAGAATCATCATAAATTTTTTTCATTCTGTAATCAATATTCACTAAAGAAGAGGTTAAGCCAAGGGCCTGCTAGATAACTTACCATATTGATGTCAGCTTTAAGATCGCACTCGTTAATAGGTTCTCAACTTTTATTTAAGTCTTTATCCAAAAATCAAGAAAGATATGCAAAATAACCTGGTCTAACATTACAACTAGATCATCGCAACAGAGCGTAATAATAGCAGATAAGATAACAACTACCTTTCTTACTCGGAATCTCCAGCGCCGAGAAAGTACAGTTGAAAATGGAACCTTGTATTCTTTATTACTACCTAAAGTTCTAAAATGAAAAAAGAAGACATTTTTTGACCAAAGATCAGAATCTCTTGATAAATTATGATAATTGAACGTTATAAAAATAACCGTAAATAATTAAAAAGTAACGAAAATAAATCATTTCGAAGAGGAAAAAGAACAAAGCTTAATGAACGTTATCCGAGAAAAAGAAATCAAGATCTCAAAAACGAACCTTGGAAGCTAAAGAACTTGGTTATTGTGAGAGGTTTTACTCAAGAATACAAAGTCGTATCCTCAATTCTCAAACATTGACTCTGCAACCGTAGGAAAGAGGTAAGGCGCACGAAGATTTCTATCTCACACAAGGAAGCCCAAAAATTATCGTAAGAATAATTTATGACTTAGATTCGATCGAAGTACGTTTCGTATGTATTGCGTGATCAGCTGTATGCTGTGCAGACAGTGCCATTTTTATTCGTACGCGTATATACGTAACGCATCATACATACATACGTACGTAGTACGGATTTTAAAAAGTCCAACATTATTTGTGGAGATGCCATAGACTTTAGGCTTTACATGATTGAGAAGCAACACCGTGGTAATACAAGTAATTGGTTTTTATTACAAAAATAGAAATTAAAAATTTTTTCAAAGCCCGCACACATAAGTGCGGGTGCACAGGCACACGAATAAATTAACGAAAGACAGATAACCGGCAAGTAATGAAGAGATAAATCTAATCTAAGAATTAATTTACAAGTTGATTATTCGAGATTTTTGTCCTACACCAGAAAGCACAAAAGAAAAATAGTCGCCCGCGAACGTATTAATCGCTCCACCCGCTATCTTTTAAATATAAAATTCGGTATAACATGTACAGATCCTCACTATAACACCACCAAATGGCAAGTCCTGTAACCACCACCACCACGAATAGTATCAATGTAACGGTGTCGGATGCGGAATTGTCTGTTGATTGACTGCCTTGCTTTTGGATTAGTGGAGTCTTTATTGAGATAGAAATTGAGAGAGATCGAGATTAGCAGAGTAAGAATCAAATAAGATAGATTATAAACAGATTGTATTACGTTGTCATTAGGATAATCAATAGAATTGCTCCTCAAGACCGAGGCAAAAATGTTAGAAGCCTCAGGATCTAATTCTTGATACAAGGCATCCTGTCCCTTCCATTTTGTTCTCATCTCAATATACTCATACGCCATTTCTGCCACTTAATATATCGTGAGAAAGAAAAAATTGCAACATTCATAGAAAAACAAAAAAAAAAAATCGTTAATTTATAACAAAAAAAAGCGTCGATGAAAAAAGTACCGAATAATCATGTTACACGTACATTCTCTAGCCGTCATTATCGTTGGTTATCAAGTACAAACGTTAATTTTGCGAAAGCAATAATGAGAAGGGACAGAGAAAGAGGCGACAAGAACAAGAAACGAGGTACGACACAAGATTTAAGTTTCTATAGAGTGATAAATGCACAAACTGTTGTACAGAGTCGAAAAAGAAAACGCACGTACATACATAAAGATAAGCAAGATCATTCAAATTACAGCCACACCGCACGCAAGAACTCAAACATCCAACCATGAGGATTATACTTGGCGATATATCTTTATACGTACTGTCATTTTTCCACCATCAAAGGTTTCAATAGGTCTGTGTGGGTAAAACTTATTTCATCAATTGCATTAATTAATACATTAATTTATGTAAAGATAATACTGTAGGATAACCATATCGATAAGATGCGCTTCACTCACTGTACATACGTAGGTACTCGTACACGACGCATGCATGCATACGAATTTCCTTGCTATTATACTTTCTTGATTTTAAGACGCCAATCTTTTATTTTTTAAGAGAAATTAAAACAAAAGAGTGGTGAAACTATTACCATTAGGGGAAATTTGTAAATAAATGCATGAAGCTTATGCTATCTCGAGAGGTTTCGCCTGACGCCTTTTTTCCACGAAACCCAGTCGATACCAATATGCGTAAACTTTGGTTGTCAACTATCTGATCTTCGATACATACATATACAGTGCGTCAAATAATGAACGCGCGTATGTGGTGCGTGATGCCATGTGAAGGGTATTCTAGGTTCGTTAACCACACGTGACTAACTTTCGCGCGGCAAAATTGACTCATTTGCAAAAAGCATAGATAACGATCGTATTTCCATAAGCATCGTTTTCATTCTTGGTTCGATTTCTGTATATTCAACCCCAAGTAATGGAACATTTGCTATCACAACATGGCTATGTGCGCGTGGCTTTAAGATAAGTACGACTTCCACATAACCCGTAAACTTGACGCCGCGCGCTTGCTGTATCACATGCGTGCCACAGATTCGGGTGATAGCATCCCATCCATCATACAATTATTCCTATAATTTTTCCGTATTGTATACTTAAACCGAGATCTATTGATTTTTATTGAAACATACAATCATATAATTCGCATATACCCTAAATAAAGAATTTGGTTAAACAATTTTATACAATATGCTATAAGCTTTATATTAAATAAAAATATACTGTAGATTAAACTATATTGGTTTAATACTAAAAAAATTTAATGAAAAAAAACAAGTTATATTTTATTAATAATTAAAAATAATATATATAAGTATATACAATGCACACAGTATATTGTTAAGGTAAGATTTGTCTTATAATATTTATTTATTTTATTTTAAGTAGGTAAACATCATTTCTTTATTTGATTTGTATATAACAAGATATACATCATAAAAGAAATAACATTTCTCATATGTTAATACAATAAGTTAAATCCTAGCTTGTCTATAGTAACCATATAATTAATATTGAAAAGAAAGTTTAAAACAATATATCTTGCTGTATGATATTAAACAGCTATAAATACCTACTCAATATTAAGGAAATACTTGATAGAAATAATATTAGATTTTAAATTAAATACATTTAAAGAAATTATAATTATATTAAATAAAGAGATAGTAATTATTGTAAAAAGGTTAATGGTGATTTCATCTTAAATGATATTAGAATGTGAGTTTTCTGTAAGGATAATATGGTTTCTTTTTGATCTAATTGAATTGGCAATATTCAGTGATTTGCTTGGATTTTACTTAATAATAGTAAAGAGTGATATATTAGCAATATTACAGTGTGGTTTTTAAATTGAGTTATACAATTAAGCTAAAGATTTTGCTGATGCCTTGATTTAATTGATAATGTCTACAGTAAAAAAAATTTGTTAGTTACTTCATATGATAATTTTTCTATTTGCCATATATGAAGATTGATCTAAAATTGTTATCTAGGTAAAAAATTTAATTAATGTTATTTATAATCTGGCAAATCTTATTTGAGACTTCAGAGTACTTAGAAACATATTAAATGTCCTCAGTACAAAACTCATATCTTGGATAATACACATCTGAATATCAATTAGAATAGTATTGATGGAGTATTTGGTAAGTTGAAAAGATTTCTGAAAGTAATTTAATTCTGAATACTATTAGATTACTATAGCTATTGTTATATATATTTTTGATATTTTTATTAAATTGATTAATAATTTTTAATCTGTATGAAATATAATATTGTTTGAAGGATTAGAGAATTGAAAAGCTTTTGCAAATTATATAATTTCTAGTAATACTAAAAAATTTTTTGTACTATCTGACACTATTACCCAGGCATATATTGTTAATTAAAGAATTTTCTAAAAAATATAATAGATAATTATTCTATTGAATTGTTTTGGTCATATATAATTTGAATTTCAATTTTGTATATATAACTAAAGATAAGTCTCTAAATTAAAGGCAAGGACATAATTCAAATGTCCTTCACTATTAAAAAAGTTTTTTTTTAATATAAGATTAAAAAAAAACTGTCTATAAAGATTTTTTACAATTTAGGCTACTTGATTCAAGTGTTTTTTGAATTATGTCCTTATTAAAATAAGAAATAAATAATTATATCCTTTTAAAAAGGACATAATTGATCTGCAAAATTTTATATACTAAATAATTTAGAGATTTATTCTTATATACTGTATAACCTCTATTAATTTTTGTTTTATAACTTAACTTATCTTTTGAATTAAAGGAGAAAAATTAATCTTTATTATTCTTTTGGAGGAAGTTAATACTAATTGAAGAATTTTTTTATTGTTTCTGATTTCAATATTATTGTATATAAAGCTTCACTGAATGATATCGAGTATTATTAGTAGAAAATTGTCAAAAGTTAGATAGGCATTGATAAATTCTACTTTGCATTTATTAATAATTAAGTAATTTTTGTGGGATTTAATATAATAGTATTGATAGAAACCAATTTCTTAAAGTGTTAATTAAAAAAAAAGAGTTATTATTAATATTAATTATTTAAGAATATGTTTACTTTTATATGATATGTTAGCAATTTCATCAATTATATTCAATAATCAATATTTGACAGTACTGAATAAATTAAATAATATCTATAATGTTGATACTGATGAGCTTGTAAATGTTATTTAACAAAAGCTATAGGATAATATGTCAGCTAAATATCCTAGATATATAAATAAATTGTTATTTGGACCAATTTTAAAATATTTTCTTTTAAGTATTGTTTCTTCTTAAATAAATGATCATCTCTTATGAATCTTAATTATCATTTTTGGATCATAAATTAATTAAAATATTGCTTTAGAATTTGAAATTAGACTGTACAATCCTGTGAGGTTCTTGTTATTTACAAAAGTTTTAAATTAATTTGATTTTAGACTGAGATAAATTATTCCTATATGTGAAACAAATTAATATCATATAAGTTTGACAGTGCTATTAATCTTTAATAGTTGATTAGTGAAAAGAATTTGTTGTATTGATTGCTGTTTTCTTGAATTGAGGTTATAGTTTAGCAAAGAAAAAACCAATCGAATTTTCTATATTGTTATAACAAAACAAATATTCTGTTAGACATATATGAATTCTAAGATTTTTGGTTATTCTTGCTATATAGAGAATCCAATTATCTTGATTGAATTTTTCTGGATTACATATGAAGCAAAACCATATTGTCTTCTTAATCTGAATTGATTGGATGCCTTGTACTGTATATTTTTTAATAGAAGAAATGAAGAGTTTGAATATAAGATTTTCTATTAATGCAGTCCTTTGTCTTTTTTTAATGTTGAAAAGTTAAGGCTACTGTAGCTAATTAGTATTGTATTGGAGCATTTGGAGAAGATTTTGTAAACTGATTTGATAAATTTGTTAATTTTAATTTGGAGTTGATTAAAAATTAATTTGTTAAGAAATAATAAAAGTAAAAGGTATTCAAGTTTTTCCATGATTACCCAATTACTAATCTGTTGTTTGATTTCTTTTTTTCAATTATGTTTGGAAAGCCTATTGATAATTTAAGTTAAATTCTGAATAAAGGCTTTCCTATTTGCCTTAAAAATTTTTTTAAGAGAAATTGATATATCAAGGTATTTTATGCTTTTATAATATTTGAGAACTTGAATTTGAAAATTATCAAATTTGATTGTATCTTAGATATCATGTTTAATTTTAATGTTGTTAATGATTTTGGTTTTATTTTTGTTATATGTAATACTATTGATTGCAAAAAATTGGTTGGCTATTACAAGAAGATCTTTTATTTTTTGTTTGGATTTAGCAATAAGTATCAAATTATCTATATAAGCTAGAGTGTTGGGAGCAGTATATTCTTGAACTGGATAGTATTAGACAAGTTTAATAACAAAAGAATTATAAAAAATAATCCAGGTAATAAGTAATAGGATTTTATCTTATTCTATTCTATTGTTAACAATAAATAATTTAGTAGGTCCAAAAGATATATTGAAAAAGATTTCTTTGTTGCTAAGAATATTGATAAATAGGTTAGTAATTTAATCTGGACAGCAAATTCTTTTCAGTGATTTCTTTATTACAGGTATGTGTGCTAAGTCAAATGTCTTTGTTATATCTAAGAAGGCAAATCAAAATTCTTTGTTTTTGACATTTGCTACTTGAAGAATTGAGCTGACAATTGTTAGTGGTTCTATGGTCTCTGTTCAAAAAGACTGATACAGTTGAATTCAGAAAAAATATTGTTTTTTTTAATTATTTTGATTAGTCTTTTGTTGATTATTCCTGTGAAAACTTTTTTTGTAAAGTTAATGAAAGAAATAGATATTATGTTATTTAGTT